CCCTGCAGGGCTGTGGTTGGTATTAACTAGAATGATGTCTTCCAAATGTAGAATACAGCCAATGACCCATGCGGTCTCCAAGGAGTGCTACCTCCTGTGTAGATGTAGGACAAGTAGGGCAGAACTGTGTGCGCAGGCTTCCGCCCCATCTTAACATGAACCTCAGTGGTTAAAAGTTTGAGTGTTGTGTACTCTGCCCAACCCAGGTCCTGTTACTCATGAGCTGTTACTCATGAGCTTCTGCTTCCTCATCCCTTGGGAACAGGGAGAGTTTCCTGGCTTATGGAATCATTGTAGCTATTAAACAAGACAGTGTACACAGCAGTTAGAAGAAGGCCCAGCACATCAGAGATACTTAGATATTAGTAATCAGGAATCCAGACACCGGTGTCCGAAGACCCAATGTTCTCTAGAAGAACAACGTGTCCTCCTCTTCCATTCCCACTCTTCCAGTTCTAGAGAGTCTGTTAAAGAACTGTACCACTTACTCTCTGAAGTAATACTATATGTAATACACAATAATACAGCACGTTGCCATACAACATTAATATATACATCAGAGGATCGATTTTGCTTGTTTTTTTTTTGTTACAGCATCTCACACTGTAACTCAGGTTGGCCCATAAGTGAATATGTAGCTCAGCTGATCTTATAGCAATCCTCCTACCTAGGCCTCCCAAATGTTGATTATAGAAATGAGTTGCCACATCTGTTTGCGATTGAATTCAGGGCCTACGAGTGCTGTGTGTGGTCTGCCACTGAGCCACAACCATTTTGTAAGAGGCAAAACCGGGTCTAGAGGCACTGGGGAGACATCCAGGGGTGGGGCAGGTTTTGAAGGTACTCTTGTGAAGACTGGATCACCCCGTCCATTAGGCAGAACTTTCTGTCATCATGTGTAAACTGCACAATTTGTAGGCAGAGGTAGGGAGCTCTGAGTTGGAATGCTGGCCTCTGACCTCTGTACTGAGAAAGACTTCCTTGTCAGGGTACTCAGTTTAGAGCTCAGATAACTGTTGACTTTAGATCCTTGGGCAGCAGTACTTACCCTCTGAAACCCCCTTCAGAGCTACTTCTCAGAGTCAGCTGGTGGGGGATGGGCACCGGGCTGTTCTAAAACCAGCAAGATTTCGCTGGAGCAAAGAAAGCCTGTCTAGAGTCTCGTGTCTTTGCACCCATGGTCACCTTAGTGATCTCCGAGCAAGAGGGAATGAATAGTTATCTTTTCAAGCTAGAAAAATACTGCAGAAAGGGGTGTAAGGGTTGTGGTAAGGATACTGTGGCAAGCCTGATAGCCTCTGACATGCACACTTATCTTACCCTGTGGCACACACTCCCACATGCAAATAAGTATAGTATACTTATTATCTTTTAGGTTCGTGTGTGCGTGCGTGCCCCATTTGTGTGCAGAGATCAGAAGAGCTTCAGATTCCCTAGAGTTGGAGTTACAGGTGGTTGTAGTTCAGGGAACCAAACTCAGGACTTGTGGAAAAGCACAAGTAGTCTTAACTACTGAGCTGTCGTCTCTCTAGCCCTATTTATTATTTTAAATATTTTCTATTTAAAATATTTGTTTTGTTTTTTGGGGGGTGGGTGGGGAGGGTGAGACAGGGTTTCTATGTGTAGCCCTGGCTGTCCTGGAACTTACTTTGTAGACCAGGCTGGCCTCAAATTCAGAGATCCATCTGCCTCTGCCTCCCAAGTGCTGGGATTGAAGGCATACACCTGGCATGTATTTGCTTGTTGGGGGGGGCACAGAGTTTCTCTGTAGCTTTGGAGGCTGTTGTGGAACTTGATCAGTAAATCAGGCTGGCCTTCAACTCATAGAGATCCAACTCTCTCTGCCTCCTGAGTGCTGGAGCTGGAGGTGTGTGCCACCACTTCCTGGCTCCAGATTTATTTTATTTTATTTTATGTATATATGTGTGTCTGTGTGGGTATGTGCACATAAGTGTAGGTGCCTGTGGAGTCCAGGAAAAGGCATCAGATCCCCCTGGAGCTAGAGTTACAGGCTGTTGCAAGGCTGCTAATATAGATGCTGGAATTCATACTTAGACTCTTTGGAAGAGCAGTATGTGTTCTTAACTGCTGAGTTATCTCTCCAGTCCCCAAATGTAATTTTCAAAAAAAGAATGTTCAATATTATGTGTTTACAACAGATGTAGCCTAATTTACTCATTTGGTAGTGCTGGAGATTGAGCTTAGGGCCTTAGGTTATGGCAGGCAAGCTCTCTGCCACTGAGCTACAACCCTTCAGAGGAAAACCACTAGCTGCTCTTGCAGAGGAGCCAAGTCCAATTCCTATCACCACAGAGCAGCTCATAGCTACCTCTAATCCAGTTCCAGGGGATGCTGCATACCTGTGTTTCTGTGCAGTCCTGCATATGCTTGGTGTGCACAAACTCATGAAGGCACACAGATACATAAAAAGAATAAATGGGTTAATTTTAAGAAGTATGCTGGATATAGTGGTGCATGACTTTAATCCCAGCACTTAAGAGGCAGAAGCAGGTAGATCTGTGGGAGTTTGTGACCAGCCTGATCTACATAGGGAGTTCAGACCAACAAGATCCTAATGCCACAAGTGGTATGTGCCCAGACATGGTGCATTAAAAACATTGCATGAAATTACCTTCATATACACATATACCTGTGTGTATAAATATGATTCATGTTTAGACTCATCCCATTCCCAAGATACCTCGTTATGTGTTTGCAAATATTCCCTAATTAGGGACATTTCTGCTCCCAAGCACTCAGTTAAGGGATGCTCAGCCTGTCCTAGAGCTATTTTGATGAGCTTCATGGGGAAGGTGGGCATTGGATTTGGGTATACTGTTGGGTATCTGTTTATACAGTACTTGGAATTCTGAGGCAGGAAGATAGTTTAAAGCCTAGGGTGGACTGCATAGTGAGTTCCAGGCTAGCCTGATCTACATTAATGAGACCCTTTTCTCAAAGCAGCACCAACAAAAAACAAAACAAAACAAAACAAAACAAAAAAAACACTACCAAAATGGGAGAGGGATAGCCGTTGTTTTGTTATTGTTTGTGGTACTATTGGTGGCTGGGGTCTGGACTGGGTGTTTCTATGCTTTTTGTGTCTCATTCAAAGAATTAAAGGTGTGTGCCACCACTGCCCAGCTGATACATCTGATTTTAATCGTATGTATACCCAATTATGCATAGGCATAAGGTGGTAAATAAAGAATTCTCTCAAAAGCTTCACTTCGAGGACAACTTGCCTCATTTTGCTTGCACTCCAAAACAGTCTAAGCCTGATCAGACCATCGCCAGTAGATCCCGGATGGTGGTTTAGGATGTTTGAATGAAAATGGGGAGATCAGGGATTGCTGAGGGGAGTAACTTGTTTCCAATGCTTAAAGCAAGTGTGGGGTCAGTCTTGGGTTGCTAATAGGTTGCTAGGTTCATGGTCAAGAGACACGTGTGTATAGCCCAAGCCATTCCTTATGCTTTACTGTCTCAGTACTGGGAAGAAAACCCCAGGGCCTTGCATATGCCAGGCAAGCAGTGTACCACTGAATTACATTCCCAGGGTCTAGACATTGTTTTTCAAAAGGAAGAGAGAAATGGAAGAAAGTAATTACTTTCACCTAGAGACACCTAGTCCCATTATCTCATTTTGTTAATACATTAGCTATCTATTCTTTAATACTTATCCCCAAACCTAGAGTGAGTGGCTGAGCAGAGTGACTAGGCTTGGCTTAGGGTCTCAGGGAACAACAGTGCAGGCCAGAAGCTTGCCCAGGCTGGTGTTCTCCTTGACTTTGACCTTGGAGACTTTGTTTTTCACCAGGTGGATGGTTTGAATAGTAAAGTGTCCTTTAATATAGCAGCCAGCTGGCTCTAGCATGACCCAAGAAGGGAGCATGGCAGAAGCTGGCATTGTGACCAGCTTAGTCACATACGGTGCTTCAGCCTCATGTTGAGTACACACAGGCTCACACTGCGATGTTATAGAGTAAACTCTCAAGGGTGTAAACACAAGGAGGCAGAGAAGATGGAGTGGAGGTCATGGTGGAGGCTGGCTGTCATATCAAACCCTGTGTTTGTCTCAATCTCCAGCCCGGAGAAGGGACTGGTACCCCATGAGTTAAGCTACTGAGGTCAGACAACTTGCAAGTGTTGGAGTCCAGATGTTGTCATTTCCAGATATTGTGAAGGAAGGGATTATTGGCACAGCTCTCTGAAAAAAACAGCCAGAGACCCAGAAGTTGGCCAGCAATGTTGCTCATCGACTCACTCCCCTGTACCTGGTGCTGTTCCCAGTATTTGGGGCACAACAGTGAATATTTGTGCTTGAACAGCACAGTCTTGTGGACCCTTACCTGCCTTGACTTGTTAGATATCTTGGAGATCCTAGAACCTTAGGAACCTGGGATCCCTTCCCATCTGCCTCCAGTGTGCCTCCAGGAAATCCTTCCGCTTCCTAGAACTTGGGTGCTGCTTTTGAGCATGAGGCCCTTCCATCAGAGCAGCGGTGGCCACATACCTGAGTAACCTGCCTGCTGGCATAATCAATGTCCCCATGCAGGCTGCTGAGCAGACCTACAGCCATGCAGAGTCCCTGGTGACTCTGGTGTAGAAAATGTTCTGATATGGAAACAGGTCCCAGATTAGTTCTGCTGGGAGTAGGGTCACCTGTGACTGAGTCCCCTGGTCCTGCGGCAAAGCCCACAGCTCAGTCACCAAGCAGTAACCTCGTGGGAGGACAGGAAAGGAGCTTCTCCCATAGACCTGGATCTGTTCATCCTGTACCAGACCTTGCAAAGGGCATCATGGAGATTGTCTCTGTTGGTACAGCCTGTGACACACAGCATCCCTGCATTCCCTCTCTCATCTGTTGACTAGACCGGGCTCACAGAGAGGCTTCCAGTGGCATTGTGTCTACTCTCTCTGCGCCCTGACAGCCCCTGACTAGCCCCCTCAGACAATGTATGGGTCACTGTGGCCTGGCTTATACTCTCCCTTTCTTGCAGAAGCACGAGTTCTCCGTGGATATGAACTGTGAAGGATGTGCTGAAGCCGTCTCCCGAGTCCTCAACAAGCTGGGAGGTGAGCAGCTCTCCACTGGAGAGAGGATGGGAGATGGTTACATGGGAGTTCTGTTCAGATACGTGAGGCCTACAAGGATCGACTGCAGGTCAGCTGGTACCGAAGTGTGTGGAGGGCCTGGCGCGCACCTTGGCCTCTGCTCTTTGGCTTATGTGGAGATGTCTTGCATCTCGCCACAGCCACTTCAGGTTTCTTTCATTCACTACACTCCTCCCCTCCTAGTTTATCTTCTAAGACAAAGTCTTGCTAAGTAGGCCTGGCCGTCCTGGAATGCACCCTGTAGACGAGGCTGCTCCGAAGTTTGTGATAACCCTGCCTCTGCCTTCTAAATGCTGGAATTGCAGACATGTGCCATCATATGTTTACAACTCCATTTTGTTCATTCTTTCTCCTCTCCCCCTCCTCTCCCCTCCTCCCTCTCCTCTCCTCTTCAAGGTCTCCGTGGAACCCAGGCTGGTGGTCATCCAACCTCTGCTTGAGAAGCAGGCACATACCACCAATGAGCAGCGACTGCCTTCCTTTTATGAAGGCAGGAACTGTTCAGAGTTCAGGGACTTGACTGGATTCACAAAGCCAGCAGGGCAGAGCTGGGATTTGGCTGCAGCATCCAGCTGCAGAGCCCTAGAGGTGTTAGTATGTTGGTGATCTCCAGTATGATACCATATACAGATTAACAACAGCCAGGCCTGGAGATGCATGCCAGTAACCCAGAAGCCCCGGATGATCAAACGTTTAAGGCCAGCCTGAACAATTTAGGGAGACCTTGTCTCAAAGTAAAAACGACCAAAGAGAAAGCCGGGCGTTGGTGGTGCACACCTTTAATCCCAGTTCTCGGGAGGCAGAGGCAGGTGGATCTCTGAGTTTGAGGCCAGCCTGGTCTACAGAGCGAGTTCCAGGACAGCCTCCAAAACAATACAGAGAAACCCTGTCTCAAAACAAACAAAAATTACCAAAGAGACGGGGAGAAGGGGGTAATAGCTCAGAAATCAAGTGCTTGCATAGCAAAGGCATTCTAGATCCAATCCACAGTACTACAATAAAATAAAAATAGTAAGTTTATAAAAGCAAAGCAAAGTTGGGTGTGGCAGCTCCCACCTGTAATCCCAGCAATTGGGAGGCCGAGACAAACTAGGCATTGCCATGGATTTGAGGCCAGCCTGGACTACAGAGTGGTACCCTATCTATCTCCACAGATCATAAATAAAATCTAGGGTAACAATACCACTGCATGTTGAGACTGCCTACACAGAGTGAGACTTTACAAGGTGGAGAGGGACTGATGACATCAGTGCCCAAGGGGAGTGCCTTGCCCAAGTCCCACAATGAGAGTGAGTCATTGACACAGTGAGTCGATTCTGAGCTTTGTGAAGTGGAATATCTCCTTTTTTGTTTTTGTTTTTAAGACAGGGTCTCCCATTGTAGTCCTGGCTGGCCTAGAACTCACCATGAGTATCCCAAGGTAGGCTTCAGACTTTCAACAGTCCTCTTGCCTCAGAACTCAGTCATGAGTTCTGGGATTATAGGCGTGAGCCAGCACACCCAGCTACACTAAGATATCTGTTCACGAGAATCTGCAACACTGAAGAGAACCTGGCTGATGACTTCCACAAGGCCATGGGCTTCCCTCTCCTGGGTTTGGGCATCCCCTGTATGATCTGAGAATGTCAGTCTATATCTGCATATGCTGGAGACACTTCAGAGATGCAATAGGGTAAGTTGAAGAGATGGCTAAATGGTTAAGAGCACTGACTGCTCTTCCAGAGGACCTGGGTTTGATTCCCACCACCTTCTTGGCAGCCAACAACTGTAACTTTTTGTTATATGTAGATTCAGAGATTGCAGCCATGGCCTGCACCACATGCTGAACAGCCCTGCTGGAGCTGAGGGGCCTTTACCTTTGATAAGCTTCTCCCTGTGCGTCCTAGTTTATGTCAGCTTGACACAAGCTGGAATGATTTGGGCAGATGGAACCTTAATTGAGAAATGCCCCCACCAGATTGGCCTGCGGGCAAGTCTGTGGTGTGTTTTCCTGATTAATGATTGATGTGGGAGGGCCTAGCTCATGAGGAGCAAAGCAAGCCAGTGAGCAGCCGAGCAGCACTCCTTCACGGCCTCTGCTTCAGTCCCTGCCCTGCTCTTTGTGATAGACTGTGATGTGTGTGGAAGTGGGAGCGAAATAAAGCCTTTCCTCCCCGAGGTATTTTTGGTCATGAGGGTTTTAGGTTTTGTTTTGGTGTTGTTGTTGTTTGTTTATGGGGACAGGGTTTCTCTGTGTAGCCTTGGCTGTCCTGGAACTCACTTTGTAGCCCAGGCTGGCCTCCAACTCAAGAGATTTGCCTGCCTCTGCCTCCCTAGTGCTGGGATTAAAGGCATGTACCATCACCGCCCTGCTGACCATCATGTTTTATCACAGCAATAGAAAGCTTAACTAATACGCTCCTCTCTTCTTGGGGACAGTAGAGCTGTTTTTGAGTGCTTAGGGCCTGGGTAGTCAGACTAAAGGCTGACTCATGCAGGAAAACACATTGAGGCTAGCCCACCCCTTTTGTGATAGCTGGGAAAGTCACTGCTTGTAATGGTCCTGACTATAGCCACCCAGGCCTTTTCATTGATACACCATTTTTTTATTGGCACACTATTCTAGAGGAGGACATTGTGGGTTTTCTTTTTTAGTGAGAATAGATATTGGACAGTAGGAAGGCAGTTTGGCAATGGCTGTTAATATCCCACATGTGCCCCAGAGTTCTACTGATTCATGGTGTAAGTATTTCAGAGGTGTGTCCAGGCGGGCTTGGGTGTGCTGGCTATAGAATGGTAACAGTATTGGGCAGGCAGAACTGATCCCCTATCCTTGGAAAGATTGAGTCAGTGGGCAGATGTGGAGACACCACGCTGGGAAGACTGGGGAGCTGTTGAAAAGCAAGGGACAAAGCCAGGTCTGTCACCACAGAAAGCTGAGACAGGAAAATCATAAGCTCAGGCCTCCCTGATGTGTAGATTGAGTTCAAGGCTGTGCTGGGTAACTTAGACTGCTCAAAATATAAAGTATAAAAAGGCCTGGGACTGAAACTCAGTGATAGTGTTTGCTTGGCATGTTTGATACCCTGGGTACCTGTAGCACAAAAAAGGGAGGGGGGGGGGACGGTTGTAGGGGAGACCAGGTCTTCAGTGATGGAAAACACATGTGAGACCCCCAGAGAGAGGGGGCGGGGTGTACAAAGCACTAGATGACACAGTGGGCTAAGGGTGCTTGCTGCCAAACCTGTTTGAACTCCCAGGACCCACAGAGGAGAGAACTGTCTCCAAGTTGTCCTCTGACCTTCACACACTCATTTTCTCTCTCACCCACGCACACATGCACACACTCGACACATGCTCATTCACCTCACCCACACCCACTAACACATACTCTAAGTTATGCTCACTCTTATCCTCACACACACTCACCCTCTCACACACTCACACACACTTGCTAACACACAGTCACGCATGCTTTCACTAAAATAAATGTAATAAAAATTTGAAAGAAGGGCCTGGAGAAATAGTTGAGAGCACTTTTGTTGCTCTTGCAGAAGACCGGGGTTCAATTCTCGGCCCAATATGGAGGCTCATAACCATCTGTAACTCTAGTTCCAGGGGGTCCAAGGGATCCAGCGCTCTCTTCTGACCTCCATGGATACCATACACATGTGGTACACAGATACATGCAAGGAAGACACTAATATACATAAAAATAAGTAACCCTGGGGCTGGAGAGAGGGCTCCATGGTTAAGAGGGTATACTTCCCTTGCACAGGACCTAGCACCCACTTCTTGTGGCGCACGACCACTCACAACGCCAGGTCCCATGACCTCTGCCCTGTAGGGCACCAGCACTCATGAGCATGCCCCACCCAGAGACCCGTACACATATACGTAATTAAAAAGCATTTTAAATAAAATTATAAAAGGGAGGTGGACTCTTTATTGCTAAATTGGAAGGTTAGCTTGAGCACAGGTAAGTGAGGTAGCAATGGCAGGCTGGGGGTGGGGAGCTGGCTGGGAGGAGAGAAGGAAGGAAAAGCGAACTCAGCTGAGAAATAGCTTAGAGTGCTTGCTTAATGCTTGATGTCTTGAGTTCAATCCCTTCACGCATGCCATGCTCGTGGTGCCTGAAACAGAAAGAGCTTGCTGCTGCCCGGCTCCAGGAGAGAGGCCTGGTGTTACAGGAATACTTAAGGAGGATGACCTCTTTGTTCCAGTGAGTGGAAAGGTCCTGCCTTCCCCTCCCACATCCCAGTTTCCTTCTTCCTGCAGGAGTGAAGTTCAACATTGACTTGCCCAACAGGAAGGTCTACATTGAGTCTGATCACAGCACTGACACCCTGCTGACAACCCTCACCAAAACAGGGAAGGCTGTCCTGTACATTGGCCCTAAGTAGCCAGGACCTGGTGAGTCCCTCTGGATGTACTGAAGGGGTAGCTGAGTGAGATTCCAGCCTTTCTTGCACAAGTCTGTTGCTTCTCCAGGGGTCCCGTGGGTTGCAAATCCCTCATCTGAAAGGCGTGGGTCCAGAAGCAATTCAGATTGCAATTTCTCTGGAGTTTGGAATCTTCACCTAAACGTACCCAAAGGGCATCCATAATAGAAAAAACTCTACTAAATATTTTTGTCATCCAGTTGGCATTCAGGAAGTTCTCATTTTGGAGCACACAGCAATTGGGGTTCATGGATTCAAGGTGTTTAGCCTGAACTTGGGCTTCCTAAGTGAGGTAGGAGGGGACCCAGAAGTGTTCAACCTACTGCCCACCTCTAGAAGGGTCACAAGTAAGTCATCATTGTCCACTACAAACCAGAAGCTCAGGCATCTTGATGGCCACCAGTGAATAGACAGAGTTCCATGTTATGTCCCCGGGGCTCCTTTTAGGACTTGAGAGGCACCTTGCCTGGTCAGCAGGGTCTAAGTTTAGGGTATCTGACCTTCTTGGAATGGTGAACCTCTTGATTTGGTGAAGTGACTGTCCCTTCACAGTTGACACATGTGTCCTGAGCCTTGCACTCCTGTGCAAGAGTTCATGCACACCCTGCCCTTTCCTTCTGCTTGGTGCTGGCTGCCCCTCTAGCCCAGCCTGGTGGCAGAGTCAATGACCCATCTAAGCTGGCTTCCTTCCATTTTATGGGTCCCAGGGAGGTAGGAAATGGCCCTGTGCCGGTGCCCTTCCCTCAAGAAGCAGGACAGACCTCACCTGGCCCACTGTGCCCAACAGTCTTAACTTCCTCTGCATTGCATCTAACCCATAAATTATGATGGCCACTTCTTTGGTTTGTATCCTCTTGGAATTGAGAAAAATGAGACCTGGTGAAGGGACCTGACCAAAGTCTAGGCAGAGGCTGGAACGAGCAAGGCCTCCTGTGTGAGCATTCCCAAGTGATGGTTAAAGTATCACTGACCCTACAAGTGACTCATGAGAGCCCCTAGCAGAAGCCAGCTGTAACCACCTGGGGGTGGGAGGTCCCCTTTGAGTAGTGTCTCCTCCTTCCTCAAATGTGAGCATTTGGAACCTAAGCTGTGTGCTCTATGTATATGGTGACAACCCAGCAAATCAAAAGACATGGACTAGTAAGTTAACCAGAGGCTAAGGCAGGAGAGGAGGAGCAGGAAGTCAAGGCTAATGTGGGTTACAGAGAGACATCCTGTCTCAAAATAATATAATAATAGTAATAATAATAATAATAATAATAATAATAATAATAATAATAATAATAATAATGCCAGAAAGATGGTTCAGCAGATGAAGGCACCTGTTGCCAAGCCTGACAACCTGAATTCAATCTCCAGGACCCACATGGTGGAGAGAACTGAATCTCCCAGATTGTCTTATCTCCACACAGGCGCATTCAACACATACTCACACACACTAAGATTAGACAGACAGACAGACAGGTTCCCCATGTCTCTTCTGGCCCTGGATTTGCTCCAAGGCCAGGGATGAGCCATCGTGAAGAGCAAGGAGTCTGGGGTTCAGGTGTCGGCTCTGCTCTCGGTCCAGACATTTTTATCTGCCTGAGACTTGGTCTTTGAAGTGGGTGAACCCCTCCTGTCGTCCCACTGCCCTTTCGGGTCCCTGTGCAGCCTCTTTAAGGTTTGTCTTCTCCAGGATGATGGCACCAGCAGGTTCTGCCATGCTTAAGACCTGCACATCCAGGATGACCCCTACATCCCTGGGTTTTGTGGGTCAGGTGAGGGTGGACCACTGACTTCTCTTTCAAACAACCCTATTGTGTTTTGGACCTCCATGTAAAGTTTTTCTTTGTTTGGGTTCAGTTTGTTTTTTTAACAATCAGTTTTTGAAACAGGACCTCACTGTTGTAGCACAGACCATCTGGAATTTGCAACAATCCTGCCCTAGCCCCTCAAATGTTGTACTTACTGGCGTGAGCCCCTATGCCCAGCTTCTCCACATAAGATTGTATTTGAGGGCCAGCAAGATGGCTCATCGACACCTGTGTGCAAGCCTGGTGACTAGAGTTTGATCTCTAGAACGCAAGGAGAGAGCAAACTTGTCCTCTGACCTCCACACCTAATCAGCACCCATACCCACACCCACCGCACTAACAAAAACGTTCTGTTTCATTTTGAAAAAGAGAGATTCTGTTTGCTAAGCATGTTCTCTGTGGGGAAGGAAGAGCAGTCCGTGCCAGCCTGCAGTTTGGACACATAGTCTAGACACTGCTGACAGCAAGCAGTGTGGCTCTCCTAGCTTCGCTTGGTGGCTTTCGTCAGCAAGGTGAAAATGGAGTTGACATGATGTAGTTAGCTGTGTTCAGGGTGCCATTCGTTAGAGCTGTGTGCATTCCCGGTGGAGCACAGTCACACTGGTCACACCTACTTCAGAACTTTTCATTCTGAGAAAAGCACCTCCTGTCTGTCAAGCAGTAGTTGCCCCATCGCCCTCACTGCTTCCACTGCTGATGCCCATCTGCTGCTTGCTACCCTGGACTAGCCTGGAGACTTCCTACACTGTATTTATTTGCCTGCTTATTTGAAATAGGGTAGCCTAGGTTATGCCTGAACCAAAAACTTAGTGAAAATGATCTTGAATTTCTAATCATCCTGTCTTCACCCAGGCTTGTTTTTGTTTGTTGTGTTATTGTTTTAAGGTTTCATGTAGCTCAGGGCTGGCCTTGAACTCCTGATCCTCCTGCTTCTACCTCCACCGTGTTGGTATTACAAAAGTTTGCCATCAGGCTCAGTTCTCTGACTTTTTATAGTGGGAGGTGTCAGACATGTATAAGCACTATATAGGAGTCTGGGTGAGAAGATAGAGCAGAGTTAGCAGATCTAGTTACTTTGTAACCTACAAAATTTCACCAGGGCAGCACTGATCACCATGGGCAGTACAGAGAGGAATGGGACTGAGATGCTATGTTTCCTATTCACAGTAGGTGGCGCCATTGATCCATCTCATTTTCCCTCTCTCCTAGGCTGTTGATCTGGTCTCCTGGCAGATTTGGAATGTCAACTTCTCTGTCCAGCTCAGCCATGCCCAGACAGGCCCTCCCTTGCGGGCTCCCTGCCAGCTTCCTTGCAATAAAGTCAAGCTGCATTTGTTGAAAAAGTGTCTGTTGTGTGTTCTTAGTACTGCTTGCTCACCTACAAGCTGCTGTTGTGTTTGCCTATGTTTCTAGAACCTCCCACTAGCAGTCACATCTCCTGTCCACTCCCTGCTGTGTGATCTTGAGCAGTCCACTGCCCTCTCTGGGCCTTTCTGTAATGGGGATATCATTAGACCAGATCAGTGAATTTTCTTCTCACTATGTAGACACCATATTTGAAAAGCTATCAAGTGACTTGCGTTTAAGAAATGAAACTCTGAAACAGTTAGATGGGAAGCTGCTGAAGAAAGGCTGCCCCAGTAGGGTTTGGCTCTAACACCTCCCAGCTGGTCTACTTAACCTCTCAGTGCTCAAAGCCTGGGAGAGGACCGCACTTCTGGCAAATGACTGTGATGGTTGTAGTGACAAAATGGACAAATTAATGTGAACTGTTTGGAGTAGAGAAATCCTCTGGCAAGCATCCACTGCGTACTAACTTTTATGTATTTCAAGGGTCATGGATGGAGGCATGTCAGATCGTCCCCCTTAAAGGGCACTGCCTTTAAAGAGCTGCTTGGTGAAGCGAGGGAGTGTTTTAGTTTGTGTAGCTTTAAGGAAAAAAAGGGTGTTACATTGCTGTGAAGCAGGGAACCAGAGAGACGTCAACATGGACCCCAAGACCATGCAGGACACACTTGGTGTCTGGGGTGTCTCTTGAACATGCCGATTTCAGACCATGGGAAGAGTTGATCTGGACAAAGCCATTGCCTCATGACCCAGACCTGGGTGGGGGAGCTGGAAAGAGGAAACCACACCTCACAAAAGACGTGGCATCTTTTACTGAGCTACACTGGCCAGAATTCCATTCTCCCAAGCCAGAGGAAAACCTAGTGGCTTTCTGCAAGTCACCACTGTGCATAGGCGGGGTTGTAACACATGTTTGTTGGTTCACTTGTCTTTGTAAGACCGGGCATGGCTATGAAGCCCAGGCTGTCCTCGAACTCAGAGAATCACCTGCCTCTGCCTCCCAAGTGCTTGGATTAATGGCATGCACCACTATGCCTAACCTTAAGATTTATTTATAAGTTTGTATGTATCTTTGAGTTCGTTCAGGTACCTGAGGACACCAGAAGAGGACATTCGATCCCTTGGAGATACAGGCAGTTGTGAGATCCCTAAAGGAGGCTGAATGTGAACCCTCTGGCATTTACTGGGCACTCAATACTGCTGGACCTGGGACAAGATTAGCTCTGCCCTTAGCCAGCCGTGGCCTTGGACTAGTCAGATAATCTCTCCCAGGGGAAGTTTCTTCACCTGGACAATCACAGTGCCTTCACTCTAGTGAATTTGGTAGCCAGAACTAAGACATCCTTTCACTCCCTAGCAGAGGCACTAGCCTAATGTGCTGCAACACAGCGCTGATCCAGTGTTCTGACAGTGAAGGCAGGACCAGGAGCGCAGGGCCGGCCTCATACAGAGTTTGAGGCTGCCTACCAACCAAGTCTCAGGCCTTTGTGGTCCCTTAGGGCCCAAGGGCTGCTTCTTCCCAAGCCTCCTGTAGGTGTTTTTAACCACTAGATGGCAGTGTGCATTGGTAACTTGAAGGACAAAATTAAGGAAGCACTGATCCCAACTAGAATAGAAGAGGCAAAAGAACCTCCAAGGAGCCCCTCGCCCTAAGAAGCACCACTATTCAAGCCTGGTGTTTCCAATGGACTAGGAAGCCTCCAGATCAACCCAAAATGGAATCCACCCCAAGTTTGATGTCTTATGTCTTTCTCAATTATCATCATCTGAGACAAGGTCTCTACTGAACCTGGAGCTTGACAACTCCAGCTAGAGTGTGTAGCCGGTGATCCGTCCCCCTTGCTAAGTCCAAGTCTTTGGTTTGGTTTGGATTTTTTTTCTTCTTTTGAGACAGGATGTTGCTATGCAGATGGTCTCAAACATCCCCAGTTGCTGTTTTTAACGTTTATTTTTAAGTGGGTGTGTATGTGTGTTGGTCTGTTTGTCTGTGGATTTGTGCCATGAGTGCAGGTCACTGTGGAAGCTAGAGGCATTGGGTCCCCTGGAGTTGGAGTTACAGGCAGTTGTGAGCCACCTGATGTGGGTACTGGGAACTGAACCCAGGTCCTTTGAAAGAGCAATATGGTCCCTTTAACCACTGAGCCATCTCTCCAGCCCCTGTTTATTTTGTTTTTGAGACATAGTTAGGGAGCACACTAATTTATGGACCTCTTGTTCAGGTGCTGGAATTGCAAGCGTGCCCCACCATGCCTGGTTTATGCAATGTTGGGGATCAAACCTAGACCTTTGTGTATTCCAACCTAACCCCAGCCTTTGTCCAGGTTCCAATTTTTCAAACTGCTCACTGTTGCCACCAAGTTTTCCTAAGGGCATAGGGAGACTCCTATAGAATAGATCTCTGAGGCTGGAGACATGATTCAGAGGTTAAAAGCACTGCTCTTTCAGAAATCCTGAGTTCAATGCCCTGCAAGCAACCACATGGTGGCTCACAACCATCTCTAGTATCTGATGCCCTCTTCTGTCATAAAGGTGTACATGCAGTTGGAGCACTCATATATAAAATGAAAAAAATAAATCTTTAAAAAATATAGAATAGAGCCGGGCAGTGATGGTACACGCCTTTAATCCCAGCACTTGAGAGGCAGAGAGGATCTCTGTGAATTCGAGACCAGCCTGGTCTACAAGAGCTAGTTCCAGGACAGCCTCCAAAGCCACAGAGAAAGAAACCCTGTCTCAAAAAACAAAATATAATTATGTATGTATGTATGTATTAGACCCTTCCAATCTGATGCACACATAACATGCTCGGGCAAAGCAAACCACCAAACCAAGGCCTTGCACTTGTGAGACAAGCACTCTTTCACCAAACTGCTTCCCCATCCCTGTTTGTGAATATGCGTGTATTATATGTGTAGTTATGCATGCCTATGAGTCCATGAAGAAGTCAGAGGAAGATGCAGGTGTCCTGCTGTATCACTCTATGCTTTTTCTCTTGAGACTGATTCTAGAGCTAGGCTGGCAGCCAGCGAAACTGAACTACCCTGTCTGTACCTCCCATAGCACTAAGGAAGATACAGTTGCATGCAACCATACCTGGCTTTCTTTATGGGTGCTGGGATTCGAACTCAGGTCCTCCTGCTTGTGCAGCAAGCACTCTTACCCACAGAACCATCTCTCCAGCCCTGAATTTTGCTTTTCAAGGAAGAATCTCACTATGTAGCCCAGGCTGGCCTCCCAATTCAAGATTCTCCTGTCTCATCCTCCCCCGTGCTGGGATTATAGATGCATGCCACTACACCCAGCTTCAATTCAGTTTTATGGATTGGATTTCCACCTGCAGCCAGTGTGTTCTGGACGTCAGCATTCACGTTATTCTGCTACTGGGTAGTTGTGGCCCGTGGAAGGTGATGGTTTCTTCTGTGAAACTGTCTCCTCATCTGTATTGCTCATCACCATAGCTCCTGGAACAGCGACCATTATCCAGGATTCTTCATGATGTCAGTTCTAGGAGGAGAGCGTTGTCTTTCAGTTGGAAAACTGAAAGTTGATAATGAGGGGAGAGAGAATGAAAAACAATGAAGCCTGGAAGGTTGTGCCTGTGCCATGTGGGAGGGGATCAGTCATTTGGGCCACCACCTCTTCATGACATCTTTAATTAGTGCCCATCTCTTACACAGCCCAAGTCTGTTATTTCTTGGGAGTGTCCATCAGGGCTGCTTTTAGAATTCTGTGTTTTTGGTGGCTGTGTCCACTTAGTTTACATAAGTGAATCAAGTTTACTTAATCTCTTGGTTTAAACTTTATCATCTGTGTGAGTGTGCGTGTGTGCGCGTGAGTGATTGTGTATGAGTGCATGAGTGTGTGTGAGTTTGTGTGTAAGTTGGTGAGTGTTCGGGGTGCCAGAAATGGGGATGGCGGAAGTGGTCATGTATCCCTGCTTCTATTGAGTGGTCCCCCAGTCTTGCCTGGTGTGATGCCCCTGAGAAATAAAGCTTGGAGCACTCGTCCTGCTCTGGGCAGCTTGGGAAAGGTTCCTGTGTAAAGTCTAACCTTACCTTCAGCCTTCCTCATGTCTAGGGCTAGTAAATTGCAGCACATGAGACATTAGCCTAGCTCTTCCCAGTGGTGGTGCCACAGCGGGGGTCCTTTCTTTCTCCTCTCTGCCACCCTCTCCAACTTCTGTCCCCATAAATATCCCAGATCAAACAACCTTGTATTAATGGAGCCTCCGGCCAATGTTTTCTTTCTCAGTGCCTTTACCTGTTTGTGACAGGATCTCAAGTACTTCAGGCTGGCCTTGAATTTGCTTTGTAGCTAAAGGTAACCTTGAACTCCTGACCTTCTCACCTTCAGCTCCTGAGTGCTGGAATCACATGTGCGTGCCACCACACCCAGTCTTCTGGATGCCTGTTTAATAAAGGAAGCTGAGAAAAGGCGGGAGAGGCCAAAGGGGACTGAACCACACCCATGCTACCCCAGCATGCAGGGTCCGGATGTGGCTGGGTGAGAACACACTAAACCCAGGAAACTGGAGGACATTCATGGGGTCATGGTGGGGGTTCCCTGTCTATCTTATCCTGGCACTGTGGTTCCAGGTGGAGCAGATAACCCCAGAAAGTCCCCAGCCTTGGAGGTACTCTACCAAAATCAGCTTCTGGGTTCTACCATTGAGAGCGCATCCCATGGCTTTCTACTGCAAGGTCACTGACATCCCACTCTGGGCCTGGCTCCTCCTCTGCCCTCAGTCCAGGCTCAATTTGGAAATAGCCCTCCCGGAGGCAGCTGTTTGTGGCCACATGACTGCCATTTTACCTAAACAGAAGCTGTGGTCCTTATGCATGCCCAGTAATTAGAGGGCCCCAAAGCCGGAGATGGCAAGGGGAGGCAGGAAGGAGAGGTTGGAAGACTAGGAGATGAGCAGCCTGAGGTCCGTAGAGTGCCACACCCCTCTGCGGGACTAAGACCCTCCCAATGCCACCTCAGCGTCTGCTGCAGGCCAAACCTCCTGTGGTGGCAGGTGCTCCAGGCCTTCTGGACCTGGACGGAGCTGCACTGAACCAGTGGCTTTCCCCAGTCGGCCTTCTTGCTGTCCCAGTTCCAGCCGGGGGACACGCTACCTCTTCTCATTGATGCCCTGGCAGTTTGACACCGGATCTCATGTAGCTCAGGTTGGCCTAGAATTTCTGATCCTCCTGGTCCATGTCCTGAGTGTTTGGGATCGCAGGCCTGCATCGCCATGCCCAGTTTATACAGCACTGGTGGTGAAACCCAGGGCTTCCTTCGGGCTGGCACCTCAAGCACTCTGCCACCTGAGCCACACCCCCCGCCCTCACTCCCCACGCTCCATGTCTCTTCTTTTTCCTTGAAGCCGTGTCTCATTACCCAGCCCACACTGGGCTTGAACTCCAGTCCTCCTGCCCTCACCACCCTCGTCTGGGGTCGCAGGTGCCTACCACATCATTAGCTCATTTGTCATTTTCTCACTTTCCTCTTTTGAAGAATACTGGTGAAGTATTTTGTAAGCAGTCTCACTAATGGGGCTGGCTAACATTCTTCCTGAATCACACTGGAGCTGAGGGAGGGCACACACCTCTTTACTGTACCGTCAGGGAGGTACCTCTTGCGTCCTGTGGCCTGGCCATGTTACCTCAGGACACTGAGATTGACTGTACCGCTCTCCTCCCCTGTAAAATGATTGCTTTTCTCGTTCCACACTCAGCTCTCAGGTAGGAAAGTCGCCTGTCCAGAATCACTTAAGGGCATGGGGACTGAGAAATGCGTTCCTTTTCCCCAGGGTGGGGGCAGGGAAAGACATTGTTTGAAAGCTGGGGTTTGTGCTTTCATGCCTGTTGGAGTGGCTGCATGGCGTTGCATTGTGATTTGTCTCACCAGCCAGTCAGTCGAGCCCAGTCGGTGAGCTCCAGTGTCCGTGAGTTGACCAGGTCTCAAAAACTATATGGGATCCTGGCCATGGTGGTGCATGCCTTCATCCCAGAACTTAGGAGGGTGAAGATAGGAGTGTGGGCCAGCCTGGGCTGTGAGTAGGAGACCCTATCTCAAAACAATTGAACATGGAGCTGGAGAGATGGCTCAGTGACTAAGAATATACTGCTCTTGTAGAGGATCCGAGTTCAGTTCCCAGCACCTCTGTGGGAGGCTCACAATGGTCTGTAACTCCAGCTCGGAAGGATTTGACATCTCTGGCCACCTCAGGCACCTGCACAAGTGTGCACATCCATACTCACATAGTTAAGATTAAAAATAAATCTTAAAAACAAGCAAACACCCCTAAAGCATACAACTGGTTCACTTACCCTTGTGACTACTCACTGGCTTATTAACGTGGTCTAAAATGAACAATCCTCTCCAAAGTAAAGTACCAGGCTATGGGTGGGGGTGCACACCTTTAGTCCCAGCACTGGGAGGTGGGGAAGGCTGGTGGATCTCTGTGAGTTCAAGAACAGCCTGGTCTACAGAGTGGGTTCTAGGCTCACTGGGAATAAATATATGGTGAGATTCTGCTGGGGAAAAAAATTAAAATATAAAGTTCTGATTGCTATTAAAGGTGACGGGGTGGCACTCATCTCTTTGCTGGAGATTTTCTCAAATTTAACATTTAATGTTCCAAGACTTTATATCCCAAGAAACCTTTGAGTTTAGAATAAAACAAGATGCTCTGTTGCCACATTTAACTATGGAATAAACGTTTGAGGAATATAAATAAAAGGTGGTCAGATCTAACAAGCCAAGCAGTGATCTTTGCCTTTGCTCCAAAATGGAACTAGAAAGCAAATATTATCCATAGAAAATGGAGATTTTTTTCCCCTAGAACATTTGCTGTTATTGTTGGGATATGACTCAGGCTTTTCGGTGACTGAACAGTAGTATTCAGTCTTGTAAGTTCACCATCGTTTTATTTAACCTAGTCCCCACAGATGGAAATTTACTTTCTTCCCAATATTTGGCCATAATTACCAAGTCTGACATAAACATCCATATTTATCTGTTCTGTAAACTGGCAAACTTGGGGTAATAATTTGTTTTGAAAACAAAGTTTTCCTACTAAAAACAAAACTTCTGGGAGTCTCTTTTCCTTCAGGTGGACCAAGGATGAGTTAACATAGGTTCCCAGCCAAGGCCCTCGGAAAGCAGCCCAGATGAGGGGAGAGGCATCCTGGGGTGCAGGAGGGAGAAAAGGCCTCCTGCTGTGGCTCCCAGACGGAGAGGGTTGTTTATCAAGGCGGGTGAGAGAGGAGCAGGCCAGACTGAGGGGTCCAATGATGACTGGGCACGACACAGAGACTGGGCCCATTCAGTCAGGCTCTAAAAGGAGCAAGGAAAGGCAGGAAAAACAAGTCCAGACACACACTGGGTGGTTGCTGGCTGGCCTGGCCTCTTGGTACACTAAGTCCATCCAATGCCAAGCAATGGGACCCAGCCAGCTCTTCCCTGGAATTCACCCCAGACTGGGTAGGTCTCAGTCAGCTCCACAGCTCCAGAGTTGCTTCCTAGGGCTATAAGGAATGAATTCTTACAGAGTTTGGGGTAGTTCAGTACTTTTCCAGAAGGATGGGAATCCTGGGCCAGGAAGGTGATTTTCCAGCCATTTGTGCACTGTGCCTTTGTGGATACATCCTTACCTACTTCAGGAGTGGCAGGACCCTATCCGTCTGTTCTGGGCAGAGTGACATTGGTGTGAAACAAGGCCTCAGTGTCAAATAGAAAAAAAAGTTTGAGAAATGTCAGGCCTGCCAAAATCAAGCAGAACTGTAATGCTGGACCTGGTGGCCCATGCCTATAATCCCAGCACTTGGGAGGCAGAGGCAGGAGAATCAGAAGTTCAAAATCATCCTAGCTCCATGGCAAGTTCAAGGCCAGCTTGGGCCACATGAGATCCTGCCTACCCACCCCCTACCAAAAAAAAAAAATCTAGAATTGTGGGAGATCCTTGCAAGGTTTCTAAATGAAAGTTCAAGGAGGAAACTGAGGCAGATTAAGACTAATATAAACCAGACAGTGGTGGATCACACCTTTAACCCCAGCACTCAGGAGGTAGCTGGATCTCTTTGAGTTTGAGAACAGCCTGGCCTACAGAGCAAGTTCCAGGACAGCCAAGGCTACACAAAGAAACCCTGCTGTTGTGTTGAAACAACAACAGCAAAAAAAAAAAAAAAAAAAAAAAGGAATGTTATTAATACCATAGACAATATGGCTGAGGTTTAGAAGCAAATTCAAGCCCACAAGGCTAACTGGGGCTGGGGGAAGGGATGGTGTCCCTTCATAAACCTTCCAGAGCATTTCATGCCACTCAGTTGGTTAGAGGTCCATAGCATTCCTTTGTTTTTAGACTGACTCCAACTCCAAGGCACCAGGAGACAATAGACAGATTGGGCCCTTTAGTTAATGGGTGTCTGTTTTACAGGACAGATGGGTGTCTCACTTGTAGCCCCTGAGTGTTAGAGTAAGCTTCCTTTGGAGACCTGAGGATAACAGACTCGGGGCCACAGCAGGGGCCACAGCGATGAGGCCAGCAAGAGAAAGAAAGAGACCTCAGTAGCTTCTAAAGCAAACCTAAAAACGGAACACACCGAAGGCCCAGCTTCATCATCAAGTGTGGTGGTGTATGCCTGCTGTCCCAGCACTCAGGGCAGCACACAGGGCGGAAACATGGGGGCAAAAGCAAGTTCCAGGCCAGAAGACCAGCCTGGGAATCATGAGACCCTGCTTGAAACAACAGCAACACACACACACACACACACACACACACACACACACACACACACACACACACTCGCGCGTGCATGCACATAAAGAAAAGAAGGAAGAGGGAAGGAGGGAGGGAGGAAGGGAGGAAGAGAATATTAAACAAAATTGTTTACTGGCAGAACTCTCAGAACCTTCAATAAGCTGCTTGTGTGAACAAATACGCATCTGAGACTTTTCAAAAAAAGAAACAGAGTGGGCACTGAAAGGATTCAGGCACTATGCTGGCCTGCCCCTGTTACCTGGGAATGCACTCAGGCAGCACTCTGGTCAGCCCAGGGTTCCATGAGTGCTAGTCTTCACGCAGGTGCAAAGGACCCCTTTAAGAGACAGACCCTGCCCACTTACACTATTTTCCCTTCCCCTTCCTCTCTCTTTCTCCCTTCGTCCCTCTCTCTTCTACCCCTTCTCGCTTCCCCCTCCCCCCACTTAATAAACTCTATGGCTACTGTATCTTCGTGTTTGTGTTCTATCTCATCCTTTTTTTTTTCCATTCAGAGTTTCTCTGTATTATTTTGGAGGCTGTCCTGTAACTCGTTCTATAGACCAGGCTGGCCTCAAACTCACAGAGATCCGCCTGCCTCTGCCTCCCAAGTGCTGGGATTAAAGGCATGCGCCTCCGGCTCATCTCGTACTTTTTAATTTAAACAAAAGAACATTTTGGTACCATGACTCGGATTCGAATCAAGGTTGACCTAACCCCCCTCTACCCCCACTCTACCAATAAACTCCACGTGGGTTTGTTGACTCGAGGTTTCTGTTTCATTACCGGTTGCTGCAGCAGAAGAACAACGGGCACCACTTGCCCAATATCTAGTCCTTGGATCCTTACAGAACACACAGTAACAAGGTCTGGCCTTGAACATCCAAGGATCTGACACAGGCAGCCCCATGGAATCTGGCCAGCGAGAGGTCTGAAGGTTGCAGCATCTGCACAGGCACAAGTGAAGTAACTGGCTTTCATTGGCACGAATCATTCATTCTCCTGAACAGAGCCAGGGCAGCCAGTGGAGCAGCTGTGGCAGGAGAGCCCAACCACCGTGACCTCTGAGGGCCCATGTGTGGCAGGCTTGGTGCATGTGGTGTGAGAGGTATCCCCCAGTCCCCTGCTGGCTTTGTAGAGATGCGAAAGACTCTCTTTTTGAGTCTGCACCCCCCTGCAGCTACAGTGCCCGGCCTCTGCTCATGGCCAGAGTCTCTGCAGCCAGCCGTTTCCCTCTGAGATCAGTGTGGGAAAAGGCAGGCTTGATGGTGGCTGAGGTCGTGGGGCCCTATGATGGAGGCTAGGCTTACAAGGCTTTCCTGGGGTCACAGGACAAGGCAAGTACTTTATATCTTCACCCCTGCTCTTGAGGTCCATTGGAAAATGGAACACGAAGGTTTCAGGGAAAACTTTGGCCCCAGATTGTTGGTTGCTCTTCAGAACACATTGTCCTGTGGACATTTATACACCGTCTTATAGAGCATGCATACATTTAATTAGTCAATTAAAAATAGACCTGGCCAAGGGTATAGGTCATTTTAGAGCACTTGCCTAGCATATATGAGAGACTGGATTTGATCCCTAGC